GGTTCTCCGTCTCTGGATAACAGAGTGATGCTCCTGGACACACAGACGTCTCCAGTAACCCACACATCTCAGCTGTTGCAGCACAATGTCCCAGTCTTATCCAGCGTTCTGCTCATTACAGCATCAGTGTCACGTATGAGAGGCATGAAATGCTGCAGAAAGGGGAGCGACGAACACGACTATCAGATCACTGCACTCATCTGAGATTTACCAGGCTGCTTGAGCGCCTCTCTCCCTCCGACGCGCCGAAAAACCACCGCCCGCTTCAGAGCCACAAAACAGCCGCGGCTGTGGAAGAAAAGCTGATATCATGTCCACAATTCCTGCGCTGTAAAAATCATAGGGCCCCGAGTAACGCATTTCCCCGCAATGCTTCCAGATGGCTGACTTATAGCTGACTGTAATTCTCAATGATAATTCTTGCTACTCTAAAATCCTCACTAGATGCCAAAACCATTTTTTTGGCATATTTACGTGCTGCACATTGAGGAACACAACTATATCACTGTCAGTTATACTGTGTGTAACTGATGAGAAGACGTGGACATTAGCGTTGCTGATTCTTTTCTGCTCTTTTTGAATCTTGCGAGCCCCGGTCTGCATTTACCTTCATCACAGTTTTCAATAATTCTCCTTTTGTGTTTGGCAGAGAATGAAAGTCATGCAGGTGTGAATGACACGAGGGGAGTACCTGACGGCAGAATGATGATTTCTGGGGGATTCGTGTGTGAATGCGGTACATGCCTGTCCTCTGGAAGTTCTCCAGCTCTTTGATGGATGCAGTAACAGATTTAAATGCCCCTTTCAGCCGTTTGCCCAGCACCATGTGATCAGGTTCAGCTCGCAGACGAATGCCGTATTTGTCCTTGTCGGTGGACAGAGTGAGCTGGCGAACTTTCAGCTCCTGATGGAAAAAAAAAGTTAAAAAGTCACACCATTTTGAGAAAGACACAGCAAGATGTCAATCATTCTACTGCTAGAAACATGACACTTCATCATTGACCTCTGACAGCACTTCATCCCCTCAGTACAGGACACTCACAGGCACGAGCAGGGATAGATATCTGATGGAAATGTGCTCATCCTCGGGGCATCCCAGATCAGGATGAGTTTGTGTCTTCATCAGGTTTGGAGAAATGTAGCACTGCATCAGTGTCTCAGCAACGGATGCTCTGCAGTGAATGGGTGCCGTCAGAATGAGAGCTGATAAAAACATCACAATAATCCACAGCACTCCAGTCCATCAGTTAACATCTGGAGAAGACAAAAGCTGAAACTAATCCAGCATTAAGACGCTTCTAACTAAAATACAAGTCCATAATGTCCAGTGAAAAAGTGTTCTGGTGTGAATCAGGAGAGAAATCTGCACAGATCAAGCAGCGTTTAAACAGCTCTAAACTAATAAGTGTCAGGATTTTGATGTGAGAGACAACAGCAGATGCACATTTTCACTGCAGGAAGAGTTATTATGGATTATGGACTCAATGCATTTGAGTTTAACTGATGGACTGGAGGGTTTGGAGAAATGTAGCACTGCATCAGTGTCTCAGCAACGGATGCTCTGCAGTGAATGGGTGCCATCAGAATGAGAGCTGATAAAAACATCACAATAATCCACAAGTAATCCACAGCACTCCAGTCCATCAGTTAACATCTGGAGAAGACAAAAGCTGAGACACATCCAGCATTAACACGCTTCTAACTAAAATACAAGTCCATAATGTCCAGTGAAAATGTGTTCTGGTGTGAATCAGGAGAGAAATCTGCACAGATTTGGATAATTGTGGACACTGATGCAATGCTACATTTCTACAAACCTGATGAAGACACAAACTCATCTTGGATGTCCTGAGGGTGAGCACATTTCCAGCACATGTTCAAAGCGAGAGGCGTGACCGAGAGCTTGTCTTCAGTGTCTTAAAGTGGGAGGCTGTTCATTAAATCAGGTGACTGCGGTGTCTGTTGTGTTTCTCACATTGTGAGAGCAGAATAAAAAGAAGCTCAGTTTGTGCCTCCACTGTGACGCGAGCCACAGAAGCGACAAAGTCATCTGAATAAAACATGGCATCTAATGAAGCACACCGAGAGCATGCTTTCAACTCTCTCTGTCTCACCAACAAATTCATCAGTTTAAGAGCATTATGTCAGAAAGAAACCTGTAGAAAATGTGTAAAACACTGGACGCAAAGCAAAAGATATGTAAGGGGCAAAACCGAGATAATGCAGAAAGAAAACGCTTATACGCTGATGTACATCAGTAAACCGTCTCAGTTTCTGATGGATAATGAATGCATTCAAATATCTGCACCTAAAAAAACATCCTGTTTCATCATCTGCTCTGAACAACTTTCTCATGAATATATTTGCTCTGATTAATGGCAGGCGTGTGGAGTGTGCCGCCCCTTGCTTTCTCCACGGGGACGTTTAACAATCGAGCGTGGCAGACACAGAGAGGCTAATTTTAGCTCGGAGGCCCAGCCCACCCATAAATCATTGCAGCAGGGGCTGGAGATGAAGGACACAGGTTGAGCATCTGCTCACACACACTCACTGCACGACCCGTGTTGACAGTGATGCAGATGTTTGCACTCAGATCTACACACACACACCCTGAGCTCCAGGCCAGCA